AGCGACAGTCTTGGTCCATGTCATCACTCACCCGTATCCAAGCCACCTACAAGAAGCAGTATAATATGACAGACTTTGCGTTCTGGGTGTGCTACGGGAGTTGGTCCGCTTGCGAGGCCTGCGGTTCGTTCTTCTTCAATGACGAGTATTTCTCGAACCGTGTATATCAGGATCGTAGCACGTCGGAAAAACCAGACATGCTTGCAGCGTATCGGCGGCAAGTACCGCAGGACCCGGTGGTGCACGCTTGTGGCCAAGTTGGTATATCTTCGAGATGGTGGTATAAGCCAGGCATGTACACGCCTGTGGTTGCCAGCTGCCCTTGCTGTTCTGGTAAAGAGACTCCTCCCGAGAAGTTCAACCGCCGTATGCAGAGCCATGGGAAGGCCGTCAAGGTTGCAAAGACGTCGGAGCTGTATAGGACCCCCTTGGCGACGAAGTCGGGCTACGAGGCAAAGGAGTGCATCACCTGGCCTCGATATTCGCTTGGGCAGTTTTCGCTGGGCCACAGCACTGGACCCGGCATGCACGAGATGACCGTGGACGAATGTCGTGCTCTGAGCATCGTCGTCTTGAGGACCTCAGTGCAGCAAGAGAGGTATGGCGCTGCGCACCAGTTCAACTGGAAGAAGGTGGGCCTCTCGCGCGCGTACTTCAAGAAGGACCTGGTCTGCGAAGCGAGTATGCCTACCGATCGGTGCAAGGCTGCATTTCATTTTTTGAGGGAGCATAGCAAGTATTACAGCAGCTTTCTGACGCACCAGAGGATCCGCGCGAGCAGGGGCGCCGCGGTCGCCCCCAATCCACCCACCCCCAAAGAAAAAATACAAAAAAAACAAGCCAGCAACAAAAACAACAACAACAACACAATCAACAACTATTCATTTTCTGAGGGCGCATAACAAGTATTACAGTAGCTTTCTGACGCACCAGAGGATCCGCATCGAGAACCGCAGCTCCTTAAATCTGTCCTCCTACGACCTCTTTGTTGCCATGAAAGGTATCGAGTGTGCCATGTATCCCGTCTTGTATCCGACTACGGACTTCACTTTTACGGGTATAATGGAGCACTACTATGACCAGACCCAGGATAGCACGAATCGTGTGGTATCCATCGGCCTGTCTTGGACTCGGAAGGTGCTGTCCAGTGCCCGCGTATATGGCGAGCAGCGTGACCTGCCGTTTTTCCTGTACGAGAAGCATTTGGCGAACAAGTATTTCAATGCACAAGTCCGTGCCAAGAGCCTCGGCGTCACGGGGGACGTACTGACTCGAGATTCGCAGGCCTCTACGGGGTATTGGGAGATTGTGCAAGACTCCCTCGCTGATCTGGTGCGTATCATGCTCGTGCGCTGCTACGGCGAGAAGAATTATGAGGCCCTGTATCAACGCTGCCGGAATCTCCGGGGACAGGTATGGCTGTGCGCGTTTCCGAATTTGCTTATCACCATCGCGCCTGCGGAGTGGAAGTTCCCGAGGCCGTATTTCATGGAGCCGTACCTTCGCTGTATTTTGCTGGTGCCTATATGATGTCACTCCATATGTACTTCCTGGTTCGCTGTATCTGGTTGTTTTTGGCGAACCGCTGGGGCCACAGGTTCGTCTTGTTGTATAACAAAATTCCAGGAATTGTTTTGCGAGTTTGTCTCATGTGTGTCATATGTATCATGTACCCCATGTATCACATAAAACAACTGGATGTGTTCCAAAATTTGCCCCAAAAATGTGACCAACTCTTTTGCGAGTTTGTCTCATGTGTATCATACGTATCATGTACCATATGTAGCATGTCACAACAGTGTGCCAAAATAAATAACAGTGTCCAGGTACTTCATCGTTTTCGAGTGGTGTATGAAGACCGAGTACCAAGGCCGTGGCACCCCGCACTGGCACATCTGCGCGTGGGTTGTATGCTTTGGGCTGTTGCAACATCTCGCAGGGCGCACTGGGACGGCTGTCGCGTCGGCATTCGTCAAGCTCCTCTCAGGGGTCTTCTGCGCCGAGATAGATGTTCAGATAGGCAACGGCCGTCTGAACTACATCTCCGGGTATGTGGCGAAGGACCATGATGCCGTCGACGTGGGGCTCGGCGACTTCGTGCAGAAGAATGCAAACAGCTCCTGGCTGACCGCGCATCGCTTGCTCAGCAAGAGCAGCCCGTGCTTGCCGGAAGTGGCGATCCGCATGGCGCAACTGTCGGAATTTGAGCGGTCCTATTCCCATGTTTTGCTGTATCCACCGCAGCCTGCAGCCATGGTGAATTATGGCGGGCGGCAAGGCGACTTTTCCTCGAGGATGTATGGCTTTTATCTTCAGGAGAAGAGGGAGCAGCTGGTCGCAGGGACTCCCGTATCGGAGAGTTTCTTGGTATGGCACCGTGGCAGGGAGTATGACACCTCGAACCACTGCGTACAGTTCCGTGGCGGCAGACATCATCAAAGGTATGAACCTACGCAAGTGGTCGCCTGCAGGTACTGGTACGAGCTGACGGACGGGTATTGGAGCCAGCATTTACTGACTGTGCTGCCACATGTATACGCTGCACAATTACTCCCTCAGACGTTCAAACACCTGGACAGTATGAAGAATTTCGTGGGCATGATCGAGTACCTCATGTCCTGGAAGTGGTCCGACACTGCTGGTATCGTGGAGACGTCGTGTGATCTGAAATTCCATAGTCATGCGCTGCCGATGCGAGTGGGTGAGGAAGGCCAGATACTATCATTCGGCTCTGAGTATACCGCTGGAGGGTCTGTATTTGCCAATGATAGGGCAGCATTCGAGTACCTGCTCTCGCTGGCCCGACGCGATCTGCAATTTCGCGGTATGCGCGATGAGCGTGTCGGCTGCTTCGAGCAGAAGCAACACGCGAATTTTCTGCTGTATATGCGTGTTGCGCAATGCGATAACGAGCCAGAGTACGAGTGCCTTCGGCAGGAGTGGGATACCTTGAACAGGCCGAAGTATCAGCAGCGCACGTGGAGCCCAGAGCAGGCAGACGCCATCGAACGGGTCAAGAAGGGTGTATCGCTGGAGGACGAGGAGGAGAAGCAGAACAGTAAGCGTTTCTTGTATATCAGTGGACCACCAGGCAGTGGGAAGACGGCAGTATTGCTGGAGCTGGCCACTTGGGCATGTGAGTCTGTTCAGGTCTTGATCGTGTGCCCCACCGGGTATCTCGTGCACCAGTACAAGTCCAAGCTGCCAGACAGACCTGGTATCGAGAACATCCGAGTGGACACCATGCAAGGAGTCCTGAAGTATAAGAGGGCCGGAAAGGACGGGAAGGTCCGCTGGGCCCCACCCTCGGCTTTGAGAGGTATTGATTTGATTCTTTGCGATGAAGGCAGCCAGTATGAAGACCAGGAATGGATGCGGTTTTTCGCCGCGGTGCGGGAGCAGCCGCATAAACCCTTCACTGGTATCGTGGCCGATTTAAAGCAGTTGCAGCCAGTTTTGAGCGGGGGGCAATGCGAGCACTTCTGCAACCAAATGGACAAGGTTGACTTGAAGACCGTGTATCGCACCGCAGACAAGCAGCACCTGGTTCTCCTGAACCGTATACGCGAGGCTCAGCCAGATCGAGCGTGTTTGACGGAGTATTTTGGCGACCGGCACTGGCAGCATGAGTCCTTGGAGGCTTGTGTTGAGCGCGGTATGGCGTTGGCGGCGGAGAAAGGCTATCCGTTTTCTTGGCTGACGTGTACGAACGCTGGCTCGGCAGAGGTATGCAGAGCGGCTCTGGCATTACTCGGCATTAGTGAGGCCGATCTGCTGAAGGGTGGGTATTGCGACCCGACCACGAAGTCCAATTTACGCATTTTGGCCAGACCTGGTATCGTGATGCGCCTCAGTCGGAACTTTGACAAACAGCGAGGCTTTGTCAATGGGGCGCTGGCCACGGTATGCGAGTCGCTTCGTGGAAACTCTGTGTTTACAGCCAGGCTGGTGGGCACGGGCAACATGGTATTGGTGCACCCCATCGAGGAGAATGGGGAGATCTTCCTGCCCTGCTGCTACGGGTATGCGACCACGGTGCGTCGAGCGCAGGGTGCGGATCTCTTTCACGGCTGTATTTACTTCGAGCAGAAGAAGAGAGTGGCTACGAGAGGGTATGGCTACGTTGCCTGCAGTCGCTTTAAGTCCCGCGAGGGCTGTTATGTATTCGGCAAGCTCCGCCGCAGTGACTTCCTCCCGGCCGGGCCTGAGAAGGCCGGCGAGATTCTGGAGCGTGGCTATGACTCGGTATCGTCATCTGCCGACGAGGGGAAAGGCCTGGAGTATGCCTGTGCAGATCAAGGGGAGTACGACGCGGACCCTGTTCTGTCCATGGATATGGGCAACAATCTCTTGGACTTCCTCGTGAGCACAGAGGATACGGAAGAGGTATCCAAGACCGAGTGCCAAAGTATCCTGGCGAAGTTTGCTGCAGGTGCCAGTGCGGAGGCTGCCGATGCGCCAGTGTATGAGGAGCAACAGGCCGTGGGATTGGATCATGGCCTCCTTCTCAATGATCTATGACGTATGGTGCTGGACGTTGAAAAAACGTACAGACACGCATGTGTGTACCATGGCGGCCTAGTATCATATCTACTGTATGTATCATGGCCCGGATGTATCACATGTATCGAGCATCATGTGTTCGGCAACAACTACACCATGTGCACCATATGTATGTACCACGTGTATCACAGGTATCAGGTGCAGCATACGTGTCATTTCTCATGTGCATGCGTTGCACTTGTCTGTAGCACCTGCGGCATAGGCGTCACATGCATCATATGTAGCATTATCATATTTCAGTGTTTGTTCAGATTCAGCATGCGGTACCGTGTGCTCATCACATTACGCTATTGTCAGCATATTTTGTATCCGTAGCGGATTGGCTATCAGAGACATTTCGCATTGCATTGAGGTTGTCTCAGAGTATTGCAGTTTTCTCCTAGTAACGAGCGATGGTTACCTCTCCTTGTGCTCTGTATGCATGGGGCGCTGCTCAGGCTCTGCTATGGCGCAATGACCTGGGTGAGGTACCGCCTGGAGCGAAGCAGCGCCCCCCTGGTATCATTGTTGTCGATTCGGGGGCTTTTGTACGCGGTGCCGAGCACTGGTCGGTGCATATGCAGGATGGGCTCCAAGCGGTGTATGAGAGGACGGGGCAGCGCTGTATTTTGGTGGCTCGCGGCGGCCTCGCGTTCTGCAATGATTGGGATCCATCCCGGACGTATCACCACGTACTTCACTGCATCACGGCGCGCTGTGAGGCGCCGCGATTCGTGGTATGGATATCCCTGGGGAATGATCTCTACCCACCTCGGGCCGACATGCGGGCGTATGAGCCTGGGCTGCTCGGCGCCGTGGGGTCATTTCTCACCCAGGCTTTCGCGTATTGCCCTCAGCATTGCTTCCTGTATGGGGGTTCCAGTGAGGTGTGGCAGTACGCCAAGCACTTCGACTGAGGGGCGTGTCGCGAGTATGATCGTCTATGCGGTACAGTCTGCGGACACATTCGTGCGCAGCGAAGCATGTATCCGGGGCTCGATGCCAGGACTGGGGCAGAGCTGCTGAATGGAGTGGAGCTTGCGGATCGTATTGGCCACTTTTCTGCGGGCAGCATGGCCATTCTGCGTCATTTCTACACCGAATTGGTTATGTGGGGTATGAACACAGCGTCACCGGTCCGCTCGCGTTTATGAGCTGGAGTCGAAGTGTATGCCATCATAGAAACGAACATCGCATGGTGTAATCGTATGCATTATGTCTGTCATGTGTTTCACGTATCATTTTTATCAAGTCTATAATTAGTCTTCTACGTATCACGTGTGTCATACGGATCATGTGTCCATGTGGGGACTTCCCCACATTTTTTCACCAAAATGTGACCAACTAGTGTGTGAGTATGTATCATGTGTGTCCTAGCTATCATGTTCTATACCACTCGTAAGTACATGTTTGGCCACATGTGTCACATGTACCATATGGATCACGTATCGGATGTATCATATATATATATATCATATGTACCATATGCATCATACATATACGTGTATGTGACACCTGTAGCATGTATGATATGTACCCGGGGGACCGTGTCTCAGTGCTTTTTGTTTGACAATTCCACATTGGTTTATTTCTCATCGCTTTCTGAAGTATGGTGTCGCTAGCAAAAATATCACGATAGACACGGAACGCAGAAATAACTTCGCATGTATGTGTCGTAGTACGCCTTCTGTCTCACATCGGCGGATGGCTATGAGAACTTGTAGCCAGAATTTCGTATAGATTTCTTATAGTATGCTTGATTTGTCTCAGTATGCAGTTGGATCGCCATGAGAATAGCATCCATAAGGAGGTTCATGTCGGAGGGAGTTCCTGGGTATGTCTGTGTGTGTTGTTCATAGGCACTTTGGCTCAAGAGGGGGTTTTTCTTGGCCACGTATTGCCTTGGCATGGACTCCGCAGGGTACCTTTTTTTGCTGTCCTTTTGTATTACTGCGTTTCACCAGAGGTCAGGCAGGAGTACCTGTCGTATGTGACTACCTTTTGGATCAGTGGAGTGTATTCGTCGAGAACTTCGATTCATTTTGTTTCGGACTTGCGCGGCGCTGCGAGGCAGTATGCAAAGAGGGGCTGCTCGTATTTGGCCCATCGGGAAGGTTTGCAGATTGCGTATTCTGGTTTGAACTTCATTCGCACTCTTCGCAGGGCTCGCACACGACGGCGCCTTGTTGCATTTGCGGAGAAGTGGGCGCACGTAGTATCGGGGCTTCAGCGTCCCCGTGTGGAGGGCGTCTCGGTCGCGAGCGCTGACATCATGGCCATGGGGGACAGTATCCCGGACTATGTGGCCGTGGCTGTTCAGAAGAACCAGGTGAAGATGGCAGGTCAGTATAACAGCATGGACTGTATGCGGTGTTTTATGCACATGCTTGAGTTTTGCATGGGCTGCACGCCAACGGAGTATACCGAGGAGCTGCATCAGTGGTTTCTGAAGCGGCAGTGTCGGAAGTATGGACGCGATGCTGCGGCGGAGCTCGCGTATTTTGGCGCGCTGTCCTGCGACAGTATGACCGCAGCATTGGGCCGTATGAGGACGGCTCTAAACACCACGTCTCAAGTGAGTGCCGCGACCATGTATGTATTGTTCTGCGAGACGCGGCAGGCTATCAACAGGTATTCGCTGCATGGTCTTTGGTACCTCATTGAGCTGTATGACAAGAGCAAGTCTGTGCGGGCAAACGTTTCGCGTGTCCGAAATGGGCTAGCATACAGTGTATCCACGCGTTGTCACACAATTCAGGTTTTGGAGGGGATCCGCTGCTGTGTGGGTGTATCACTCGCTGTGCTGCGGAAGTTACCCTCCAAACGCGCTGGCGGACCTTTGGAGGTGGCGTATCAGATGGGTCGCCGCCGTTTGTGTCCCAAGGTTGAATTGGACGGCATTCCAGAGTTCCGTGCGCTGGCGAGTTGTCTGAGCGTTGTGACTCAGAAGGTCCAGGCAGGCTTGGGCCGGAAACCCCGGGAAGAAGAAAAAAAAAAAAAAAAAAAAAAAAAAAAAAAAAAAAAAAAAAAAAAAAAAAAAAAAAACGCATGCGAGGCAGCGCACACAGCAGTATCGCAGCTTGCTGGAGGCCGCGAAGGGTCTGGGTATCAAGTGCGCGAAGTCGCATACTAAGAAGAAGCTCGCGGTGCTGGTGAAGCGAGGTATGCAGAAGCCTTCAGGCACGGGGGCGCGGAAGAGGAGTTACGAGGAGCTGGTATCCGCAGTGCACGCTCGCGGCGGCTGCGAGTATGAAAGAATGAAAAAGCAGGGAAGGTGGATCACCAGACGTCTCTCCAAAGTCAAGCTGGAAGCGTTGCTGGCTGAACCCTGGGGGCGGCGTTCATTTGTATAGTTGCATGTTGTCTGACACAGGGGTCAAGCAGAACAGTATGAAAGAAGAGCATACACCAGCAATGACATACACATATACATATATATATATATACACATGTAAAAATACTAGTTCGACGCGCATAGCCATGCCTCTACACATAGACGTATACATACACAGTCACATACACATATACATACGTACGTCGAGACATGCACTGAGATTTACATACCGTCGTATGTGCGTACATACATACATTTTTACATAGATACACACATTCATAAATACATACAGACATACATACATGCATAGATACAAAAGTGTATTTTCAGAGATCTGTTCCAAAAATGTGATCGCCTTTGTTGTGCACACGTAGGCTCCCTACGCGTGTATCTCCGACAAAGAGCAAGGCTGGTATGTATCATATATGCCAAATGTTTGCGTCTCAAAACTGGCCCAAAAATGTGACCAACTGTTTTGCGACTTTGTCTCATGTCTATCATATGTATCAGGTACCATATGTATCATATATAACAAATGCATGTTGCTCAAATTTGCCCCAAAAATGTGACCAACTGTTTTGCGACTGTGTCTCATGTGTATCATACGTATCATGTGCAATGTGTATCATGTATAACAAATGTATGTGTCTCAAAATTGCCCCAAAAATGTGACCAACTGTTGTGCGACTTTGTCTCATGTCTATCATATGTATAATGTGCAATATGTATCATATATAACAAATGCATGTGTCTGAAATTTGACCCAAAAATGTGACCACCTTCCTGGGCCAGGTGCTGCCGAGGACTGCGCACGCGTGTATCTCCGACAAAGAGCAAGGCTGGCATGTATCATATATACCAAATGTATGTGTCTCAAAACTGGCCCAAAAATGTGACCAACTGTTTTGCGACTTTGTCTCATGTCTATCACATGTATCAAGTGCCATATGTATCATATATAACAAATGCATGTTGCTCAAATTTGCCCCAAAAATGTGACAAACTGTTTTGCGACTGTGTCTCATGTGTATCATGCGTATCATGTGCAATGTGTATCATGTATAACAAATGTATGTGTCTCAAAATTGCCCCAAAAATGTGACCAACTGTTGTGCGACTTTGTCTCATGTCTATCATATGTATCATGTGCAATATGTATCATATATAACAAACGCATGTGTCTGAAATTTGACCCAAAAATGTGACCACCTTCCACGCGTAGGCTCCCACGTTTTAGTGTGACAAATGCAGGCGTGTACTTTCCAGACTTTGTCTTAAAACTGTGACCAAGATTCGCCCCAAAAATGTGACCAACTTTGTTGTGCACATGTACGCTCCCAAGAAGTGCGACAAATGTATGTGTGTTTTTTTTCCAGTAGGGCTACGTATTCCAGCATGTTGGTTTTTTTACAAAAAAAGCGTACTATACGTTTGTTTAAACGGTACATTCAGGTATCCGGTTGATAACTGCAGCCATATACTCCCAAAGTTGGCACGTCTTCCCACTCGGAAGTATATTCCCTGCGGTTTCGTATCAATCGGTCGCAATGCTCGACAGTGGTATGGCCCCTGACTTCGCGATCTTGGCTGCGCCAGCGGCGCTCTCGGGCGCCCTGGCCTCCGCGGAGAAGCCGAAGGACCAGAAGAAGCGGGAGTGGCTGAAGGTATTCGAGACGTTGCCGTCGCAGTTGCTCAACGCATACGGGCCTTCCAAGTTCGCGAAGTTATCGGACAAGCAGGTATGGGCCGAGATGCAGGAGCCGCTGAAGAGTGGGGCCGCATGGATGTCGGAGATGCGCAGCAAGGAGCCGGAGCGGAGGGGTGTCGGTATTAACCGTTTCATTCACGCGATGAAGACCTTCTGCGAGTATCAACGGGATCCCTCGGTACAGGCGGCGAACAAGGCGGTATTGAATCCGAACATGTATGAGGAGTTCTACAAAGAGATTGAGCTGATACTGCCGTCCTTGCAGTATTGCCTGGCACCCAAGAAGCAGTATGAGAAAAAGGGTGCTGCCGCCCTGCGTGCGAGCGGCATGGACGCAGCAGTGCTGCCGGACACGAAGACTGAGCCGGAGTTGGACCAGCATGCGAAGAAAGTGTATGAGTGGCTCGACAAGAGTACACTTTCGCGAGTGCGTATGATGGCCCATTGGCAAAGCTGTGGGGGTTTGGGATTTGTGGCTCAGTGTCACCATAGGGCCGCCACCTGTTTCAGGTATCACGGGAACAGTTTTCACGGAGCTGGTCCAACGCAGCAGGAGGTATCATTTCAAGAGTTCCAGGCTGCTGTGAAGCTCCGTCATACGTTGGGCCACAACGGCATTGACGTGGAGTCGGTGGGCGCGCAGGCCTCCGCCGTCAACGATTTCGGCAGCGTAGCTGGCTGATGGCACGGTATATGAGCCTAATTTTCCAGAGTCGTGCGTGCACACTGGGGAGGCAGGGGCTGCATGCATTTAGACCAGGCTATTTCTTTTCTGCATCTCGGGAGTGGATATATGAAGGTTGCGGGAGTGGCAAAAAAAAATGTCCCACAAATGTGACCACCTGGTTTGTGCGTGCATGCTCCCACGTCCCAACAGTGTGACACATGTATTTGTGCATTTTCCAAAATGTGCCCCACAAGATCACTGGTTGGGTGCGTTTCTGGGAGAGGGCAGTATAGAACGCATGCATGATTGTTCTGTTCGTATGGACTTTGGCACTTTCCCACAGCATCATTCGTATGTATGCCGTAGCCATTTGGGCTCAAGTCGTATTTCGCTCATTCCGTACCTCCTTGCATATACACACGCGCTACCGCATTGCTGTCAATGGCAGGGCATTGGGACGAACAGACTGGGGAGTATACCCCATCCCACGAGGAGGTGGCCGAGGGCATGAGGCTCTGGGAGATCGCACCCGGCGGGGAGCGGTTGGTATGCAACTGGCTCAAGGTGCTGCACGAGACCACGTGGTTCGCGACTGCAGTGTACTTTCCGTGTATGTGGCGGGGAATCATGGGTGTATGCCTCTGCCTCTCGACGCCGGAGAGTACGCGTCAGTCCAAGGAGAAGGGTATGGTCGCGAGCCAGCTCCGCATGGGAGGCATCCAGACCCCAGAGTGGTTGGCGTTCGCGGTATACTTCTACCCTGGCTTGGTATTCGGCAACCTGCTTGGTTTCAGAGATCCAGCCGCGGAGTACCTGGGCACACTTTCGGATGTATTCCATCGGCTGTGCACCGAAGCTGGTATAGCGAACTGGAGACGGCGCGTCTTCGTCGGGCACGGCGGCTGGGTGTATGCTGGCTTGCGCAGACTGTTGCAGCTCCTGGGTATTCCCGTGCATTCCGAGGTGGTATCAGGTCTGTCATACAGGCGCATGGCGAGCCTGGATGTATTTGTGGCAACACACACGGGAGCCATGGGTATGGGGCCGCCAGCTATGGCTCTGTGGAATGCCTCCGACGACGTCAAGGATGGTATCACTTATTTCGCGAAACAGGACCATTGGTGGCACATGCCAGTATGGCGTTCTGTGGGGCAGGCAGACTCGTGGAATCTTATGGATTACCAGGTGGATCTGCGTATTCCGCCGCATGTGCAGGGCGTCCTGGCTGCGATGGAGCGCCACGCACGCGCGGGGGGTGAAGTCACGAGGAGGCGCATCGGCACCATGCTTCGACACTTGTCTCCTGATGTATTGCTGCCAGGAGCCCAGTTGGCAGCATTGCGCCCGCTCACCTTCAACGAGGGCCAGCGCGGCATCCGTCCCATCAGAGACAGGCGTATGCCAGAAGATGAAGAGAAGAGGGACGCGTCTCTCTAGTATGTTTTCTTTCATACGTATGCACCGTCGGCACTGCTACTCACGTGTGTTTCCAGAGCCGCGGCGGGGGGCCGGCGGTGGGTGGGCGTGCAAGCGCCGTTCCCGCCCCTCCTTCCTTTCTCCCTTCTCTCCTTTCCTCCTTGTCCTGCTCCTCCTCCTCATCATCATCCTCCGGCGGGGGCGTGACATGACCTCCCATCTCCGGCCCCCGTGCCATTGACCCGGCTCTAGGGGCCGTCAGATGTTCGGAAAAGAGACCCGATCGCTCTGCCAGGGTCCGGCATCGCTTCGCATTCTTTCGCGCCCCTCTTTAGGTGTGGATCCCTTGCGCAGTGGGCAGAAAGAGAGAGAGAGATACTCACGTGTATTTCGTAGAAGAATGAGCCAGCATTGCACATTGAGGCCGGAACCACAAAAACAGAACAATAATGAGTCTGTATCGTCTCACAACAACGGAAACAAGTCCTGTGGTATGCTGGCGCCACCCACGTGGTACCACTCAAAGTAAGTGTATTCGCTAGTGGGGTACAGAAACGGAAAAACGTCGTATCAGACGCTAGCGCCTCACCAACCATAGCAGTCAATATCATTGTAGGCCCGACAGACAGTACCGGCGTCGTACTGGTATACAGTGATTTCCTATTCTAGCGTCAGAAACATGTTACCACCAAAAACCAGTACAGGTGTCGAGTGTTTGAAAAGTGGGAAAAGTCGTATACTAAGCTAGCGTCCAGAAAATGTTACCACAACAAGTCACTGTACCCATGCGCCAGTGTAGTAGCCAAGGTCGTCCGCATGCCACGAAGTGAAGTGTCCGAACGTCATAGGGCGGGAAGCTGGGTGTGGGTGGTCGCGAAGAGTCGTTTGGAAATTTGGGAGAGCTTGAACTGCCCCCCCCACAAAGTGGGGGCATTGGCCGGCGTCCCATGAAAACCCTGGCACTGGTGAGAACGGTGTGTCCCCACGTGCTAGTAATTGTTGTTGTTGTTGTTGTTGTTGTTGGTGTTGTTGGTGTTGTTGTTGTTGGTGGTGGTGTTGTTGTTAGTGTTTGTTGTCGTCGTCCCACCCGCGACCCGCCCCGCGACCCAACCCGCGACCCACCCCGCGACCCACCCCACGACCCATCCCGCGACCCACCCCGCGACCCACCCGCGACCCAACCCGCGACCCACCCGCGACCCAACCCGCGACCCACCCGCGACCCACCCGCGACCCATCCGCGACCCACCCCGTGACCCACCCGCGACCCACCCCGCGACCCACCCCGCGACCCACCCCGCGACCCACCCGCGACCCACCCCGCGACCCACCCCGCAACCTACCCCGCGACCCACCCTAAAGGGAGGAAAAAACACCCAGACCCGACAATTGACGTTTACTATATGAAACGGCCCTGGGCGTTTACTAAACAGACCTGCCCTGTTCGATTGATTCCTTGTGTGCGTTTACCAAACGGCTTCGCTTGTCGGGGTGATTATTACGGGGTGGATTACACCCGCGACCCATTTGCGACCCACCCGCGACCGACCCATTTTGGTTTAACGAAAGAATCGGCGCCTGCGGCGGTGGCGCCTGCGGCGGGCTTTTCAGAGTCTCGCAAACTGCCGACGTCCCCACCACCTCCTCACTCTTATCCGCATCTGCGGGGTGCTACGTAGCAGCTGTTTTTCCCCAGCGCCCACAGAGCCGTAACATGTAATGTTTTTTTTTTCCCCAGGCCCCAGAGGGTCACAACGTGGAACAGCTCGTCCCACAAGTGAACAGAAGGCAAATGCATACGACACTTGATATACTCATTGCCTAAATGGGGCCGTTTAGGGGTCTCCTCCTGGATCGCTTGAGGGGGTCTTGGGGGTATCTCGAGGCCCAGTGGGGCGACGAGTCAACAGGCAGATAGCCCCCAGTGTTGGCCTCTCAGGAACCTCTGAAGGGCAACTTGGAGGCCTCTTCCGCCTTCTTGCGTACACAAAGAGGGGCATCTTGAGCGCCTCCTGGACTCTTGTCAAGGGTTGATAGGTCCGTCCTGCGTCCATCTGAGGCCGTCTTGGCGACCTTGATGGCACCTTCGGAGCGTCTTCCAAGGTTCCTTGGAAACTGCTCGGTGGCCGCTGGGACGCCCAGGGAGCCTCCGGACGGAGAAAGCGGGGAGGGGGGGGCGGCCTCGAGACAGATACGGCAGACAGCACGTGCATGATGTCACATCCCAGAGCGCCAGGGGGCACGGCGTACTGAGGAGGACGGACGGAGTAAGGCAAATAGAGAAGGGGAGTGAGGGGTCTGCGGGTGGAGGGTGCGAGGGATGAAGGGATGATAGCGGGGGAGGGCGGAGGGAGGTCATGGAAGGGAGAGAGGGAAGGAAGGGAAGGGAAGCGAGGGAGGATGGGGAGGCAGAAGGGAGGCGTCAGGAGGCGAGGCAACAGGAGGCAGGACGGAAGTTGGACGCTGGAACTCATGGACAGATGTTGATGTGTCCATTCGTGGTGTCCCCGCCCCCACCAGTTGGGCAGGGGAGGACGCTGGGCTTGGCGCCGCTCCTTGGGGGGGGGGAGGGGGCGGAATGGAGAATAGTGTTACTGTCGAGGTCATTGCTGTTGCACTTGTACCATCTAGCTGAGATGCCTCTTGGTGCGTGGCGCTGGACATTCTTTCCACCGTGATCAACGCAAGTCTGCCCTCGCTTGTACAGGTCGGCTGGCAGGAAGAGCCGCAAGGAAGGGCTGATCCAGACGTCTGTGGCACAGCGTGCGGCACAGCGGGGCTCCACCACCCAGAGATCCCAAGAGCTCTCCAGAGCGCCCTTCTCGAGATTCGCCTCTGCTCGCGCGCTCCCTGCCATGCATTGCCTCAGAGACTCCGATGGCCTCATCGGTCCAGCTGACCCCAGGCGGGCTGACCGTCGAACGGCCCCATTGCGGGCGGCCTCGCCAGCTTCCCGTCCCACCCTTGTGCTCGACCGGCCCTCCTAGAGCCGCCGAGGACGCCAGTCTCTGGCCCCGCGCCTTCTATTGCAACGGGTTCGTCATGGTCGATTCGGAGAAGATGTCAAAGTCAAAGGGCAATTTCCTCACACTCAAGGACTATGGCAACCAAGACCTCATGCGTAGTGACGTTCCCACCTCTTCATGTGGAAGTGGGAGGAGGGGGAGGAGATGGAGGAGGGCAAAAGTTGAACGAGAGAAATTGGACGGACGGCCAAGGATGATGGGAGGAAGGACAGAAAACGAGGACGATGGAGGGGGCCACGACTTAATCTCCCTGAGCTTTGTGCCAGCCTGAAAGGAAGCGATCGACACTTACTCAGCCGACGCGGTGCGGATCACGTGCGCCGACAGCGGCGATGGGCTCTCAGGATGCCACATCGGCGCCCATTTCACTTTCTTCTCCTCCTCCTCCTCCTCATCATCATCATCATTTTCTCGCGATCGTCTCCTCGTCCTCCTCCTCATCCTCTGTCAAAGTGAACCGTCCGAGATCCGACCAGCATTTCTCGAATGCAGTACGAATCTCCCGCCTCGACAATCACAAGTAGCACGTCCTCAGACATTGGCCAGCACATTCGTCCTGCCGCGCCGCAACAAATGCGGCGGGACATGACATCCTCATGTCGCGCTCATGCTTGTTGCTCGCCGAATCCAGCTGGCTGTAAAATCTAAAAGGCTGTGGCGCACGTAGTGCCTAAAGTGTCCGATTTGGCTTGACTCTGTTTTTGGCCGTATGCTACGGTCATACGTTGCGTCTGTGTATGTTGAGCTGGCTTTCAGCAGATCACAGATATGTTGTCAACGCTGTGCTCGGCGATCTTGGTTCCACGTGCTTCGGCCTCTCGGATATGCAGACGAACTAGTGTTCCAAAATACCACTTGCGCGGCTGAAAATGGAATGCAGCCACGGATTGCAGGTTTTGTCAGATATTTCAATCGCTTCCACTCGCGTTCAAAGACTACAGCAAATGTTCATCTCGAAATTCCCCAATCAGTGCTTGCACTGAAGGGGTCCTAGCGGAAATTGAAAGATTTGGCGAAAGTTTCCCGCCGATTTGGGTGGCTGGCTGGGTTCCCGGGTTCCCGGTTTTGGGTTCCCGGGTTTTTGGTCATTGGTTCCGGGCCGATTTCGATGGGCTCCGGGTTCCCAGATTCTGCGGTTTTTTGGTCGATCTCTTTATTGATCTTTTCATCGATCCCATTTCAAACCATCCATTGATTGGGGTGTTTCTCCGGTGTAAGTTTCGAAGCAACCCTGAAGGTGTATATTCCTTTCGCTTCGTGTGGTGCCCGTCCGGAGCACGTAAAGATAAGGTGTTGGGTGGTTTACCCTGCCCGTCTGTAGCGAAGTTCTGCCGTGTCGTTCTGCCCTCCCTGGGGCGCTGCCAGTGCCACGGGGGGCGGATGCGCCCTCCCTGTTTCAGCGCGGGGACGAGCGTGCGAATGGCCACGAAGGCAATGAGCATTAACCGCGTATGAGGCCAAGTTCAAAGTCCGATGAGCATAGCAACAACGCGCCATTCGTGACAATTTCGCGGATGTCTTGGTGGGTTCTTGTGACCGTGGGGGGGCGTCTTGGGGGCCTCTTAGAGGCTTCTTGGGAGCCGTTGGGAGCTTCTTGGGGGGGCCTCTTTGAAAGGGACATATTATCTCATTAGCCCCAGGAATCACTTAAGAATCCCCCCCCCTCATCCGGTGAAAGTATAATGCATCCGGCACCCTGGAAGCGTTACCTCAGCACTGAAGGAGCCCGCAGAGAGCACTCGGGGCCAAGTTAAGCCTTGCTGAGCCCTGCTAGCTCCCGCTAAGCCCTGCTAAGCAATGATAAGCCAGGCTCGCCCCCTGCTGAGCTCTGCTGCGCCCTGCGAAGCCCATGCCAAGCCTTGCTAGCCGCTGCTGAGCGCTGCTAAGCCTTGCTATCCCCTGCTGAGCCTTGCTAAGCCCTGTTCGCCCCACTAAGCTCTACTGAGCCCCCTGCTAAGCCCTCTGCTAAGCAATGCTAAGCCCTGCTCGCCCCCTGCTGAGCCCTGCTCGCCCCTGCTAAGTCAAGCCTTTCTAATCCCCTCTGATCCCTGCTAAGCCCATGCCAAGCCTTGCTAGCCCCTGCTAAGCTCTGCTGAGCGCTGCTAAGCCCTCTTATCCCCTGCTGAGCCTTGCTACGCCCTGTTCGCCCTGGCATTTCACAGGAAATCCTTTTCATGTCATCTCATTTTCATAGCAGACCCCAGGAAAACCTGAGTATGTCCTCCGCATGTCCCAGGCATTCCCAAGGAAATGCGAGGGGTGCTTAGCATCTCCTGGGAGTCTCGGATCATTGGGATTCCCTAGGCAATCCTTTGTTGGTCCGTAACATGTCCTAGGAAATGCACAGCTTATCCAAAGGCATCCCCAAGGATTTGTAAGAGCACTGTGGTCGCGCCCCTCCTCCTCCTCTTCCCGCCTCCCGCCTCCTCTCGCCTCCTGCCCTCTCTTCGCCGTCGCTGGGGGGCTGCGATCTGCGAAACTGTCGCCACTTTCGAAGGCTGCTGGTGGGTCCAGCGGAGTGAGGCACCGCGCGGATCAGAGCGGGACCTCGCCGTGCCTGGGGGGTTGCGATCTGCGAAATTGTCGCCACTTTCGAGGGCTGCTGGTGGGTCCAGCGGAGTGAGGCACCGCGCAGATCTGAGCAAGACCTCGCCGTGCCTGGGGGGCTGCGATCTGCGAAACTGTCGCCACTTTCGAGTGCTGCTGGTGGGTCCAGCGGAGTGAGGCACCGCGCAGATCTGAGCGGGACCTCGCCGTGCCTGGGGGGTTGCGATCTGCGAAATTGTCGCCACTTTCGAGGGCTGCTGGTGGGTCCAGCGGAGTGATGCACCGCGCAGATCTGAGCGGGACCTCGCCGTGCCTGAAGGGCTGCGATCTGCGAAACTGTCGCCACTTTCGAGGGCTGCTGGTGGGTCCAACGAGGTGATGCACCGCGCAGATCTGAGTAAGACCTCGCCGTGCCTGGGGGGCTGCGATCTGCCAAACTGTCGCCACTTTCGAGGGCTGCTGGTGGGTCCGGCGGAGTGGGGCACCGCGCAGATCTGAGCAAGACCTCGCTGTGCTTGGGGGGCTGTGATCTGCGAAACTGTCGCCACTTTCGAGGGCTGCTGGTGGGTCCAGCGGAGTGAGGCACCGCGCAGATCTGAGCGGGACCTCGCCGTGCCTGGGGGGTGCGATCTGCGAAACCGTCGCGAGGGCTGCTGGTGGGTCTGAGGCACCGCGCAGATCTCGTGCGCTGCGATCTGCTCGCCACTTTCGAGGGCTGCTGGTGGGTCCAGCGGAGTGAGGCACCGCGCAGATCTGAGCGGGACCTCGCCGTGCCTGGGGGCTGCGATCTGCGAAATTGTCGCCACTTTCGAGGGCTGCTGGTGGGTCCAGCGGAGTGAGGCACCGCGCAGATCTGAGCGGGACCTTGCCGTGCCTGGGGGGCTGCGGTCTGCGAAGCTGTCGCCACTTTCGAGGGCTGCTGGTGGGTCCAGCGGAGTGAGGCACCGCGCAGATCTGAGTAAGACCTCGCCGTGCCTGGGGGGCTGCGATCTGCGAAATTGTCGCCACTGTCGAGGGCTGCTGGTGGGTCCAGCGGAGTGAGGCACCGCGCAGATCTGAGCGGGACCTCGCCGTGCTTGGGGGGCTGCGATCTGCGAAACTGTCGCCACTTTCGAGGGCTGCTGGTGGGTCCAATGGAGTGATGCACCGCGCAGATCTGAGCGGGACCTCGCCGTGCCTGCGGGGTTGCGATCTGCGAAACTGTCGCCACTTTCGAGGGCTGCTGGTGGGCCCAGCGGAGTGAGGCACCGCGCAGATCTGAGCAAGACTTCGCCGTGCCTGGGGGGCTGCGATCTGCGAAACTTTCGCCACTTTCGAGGGCTGCTTGGGGGGGGCAGCATAGCGATCTGCGGAACTGTCGCCACGTTCGAAGGCTGCTGGCGGGTCCAGCGGAGCGAGGCACTGCGCAGATCTGAGCGGGACCTCGCCGTCCTTAGGGGGGCTGCGATCTGCGAAACTTTCGTCACTTTCGAGGGCTGCTGGTGGGTCCAGCGGAGTGAGGCACCGCGCAGATCTGAGCGGGACCTTGCCGTCCCTGAGGGGCTGCGATCTGTGAAGCTGTCGCCACTTTCGAGGGCTGCTGGTGGGTCCAGCGGAGTGAGGCACCGCGCAGATCTGAACGGGACCTCGCCGTGCCTGGGGGGCTGCGATCTGCGAAACTGTCGCCACTTTCGAGGGCTGCTGGTGGGTCCAGCGGAGTGAGGCACCGCGCAGATCTGAGCGGGACCTCGCCGTGCCTGGGGGGCTGCGATCTGCGAAACCGTCGCCACTTTCGAGGGCTGCTGGTGGGTCCAGCGGAGTGAGGCACCGCGCAGATCTGAGCGGGACCTCGCCGTGCTTGGGGGGCTGCGATGTGCGAAACCGTCGCAATTTTCGAAGGCTGCTGGCGGGTTCAGCGGAGCGAGGCACCAGGCAGATCTGAGCGAGACATCGCAATCCTTGGGGGGCTGCGAGCCTCACGAATGCCGCTCGCAGAAGTATATGCGCCCATGTCACGTCATCACTTCCGTATAACGTCTCCCAAGCTATTCATGCCCCGCATTGCGCAGGGGTTGGGTACGTCGCCAGGTAATTTGTTGATTTGTGCGAGGTGCTAAAGATATCGCTCTGCGAACACGGCTCCCTGAAAATATACAATCCTGGTGCGGTGCTAACGATGACCTTGGGGGGGTTCTTAAAGGCTTCTTCGGGTTAGGGCCGTGGAAGGCAGTATCGTCTACCTTCGGACGCGCTATGAGGATGGGCGTGCGCGCGTTTGAACGACGGTCGCTGTTCAACAGAAGGCCCGAACATCAGGTATGGGCTTGTTTTGCTGGTGCCGCGGTGACTGCCGCGCGAAACCATGCGCGCGGAATTACGGAAATATTGTGGCAGAGAGGGGCTCGAGCACAAGATTTGGGCTCGTCTTGCTGGTGCGACGGCGACTGCCGCGCGGAACCGTGCGCGCGGAATTACAGAAGCGTCGATCGGAGGTAGGTGGGAGCAGACGTAACCTCCAGCCGACAGGGTGCCATGTGGGATCGTGTAGGGGGCCTCTGGGGGCCCGCCAGGGCCGTCTGCGGTGCCTTGTGGGCCGCATTGGGGCCATATCTTGGTCTGGGTGGGGCCTTCGTTGGGCCATCATGGCGCCATTTTGGGCTGGCTTCGGACCCTCGCGGCGTCCTCTAGGGAGTCTCCCGAGGCCGCCTGAAGCCGTCGTGGGGCCCTCTGCGAGGCCTCTTGGCCCGCTTCGGGTCGATGTTGAGGGCCTCTGAAGCAGTTTGCCCCGAACGTGAATTTTCCTTCGGGAACGGAGGTCCTC